CTGCTGCTGCTGCTGCTGCTGCTGCTGCTGCGGCTGGGGGTGAGCCGCGTAGGCGACCCCACGGCGAAACTCGGCTTTCGGGGAAATCCTGCTGCTGCTGCTGGCGATGCTGCTGCTGCTGGTGATGCTGCTGCTGGTGGTGATGCTGCTGCTGCTGCTGCTGCTGTTGCAGCAGGTGAAAGGCGGGGAGAGGCTGCTGCTGCTGCTGCTGCTGATAAGCGGCTGTTGCTGCAGGATGGGGAATTTGAACGCCCTCCAGCAGCAAACCGCAGCACAGATTTGGGTGTACGTACACCTCCAGAGCGCACGCCTCTACCGGGTACAGACGCACAGGCAGAAACTGCTGCAGCAGGATTCGCTGCTGCTGCAGCATTTGCTGCTGCTGCAGGTGCTGCAGCCGGAGATGCTGCTGGAGGCGCCGGAACTGTCGCTGCTCCTGCCGACTCAGCTGATACGGCTGCTGCAGGTGAAGGCGCTGCTTCAGGTTTGAAGACCGTTACTGCTGCAGCAGGAGATGCAGCAGCAGCAGATGCAGCAGCTGCTGCAGCAGGAGGTGCAGCAGCAGATGCCGTGCGGATGTCTCCCAGCGCAGCATCTCCCCCTGATGCAGCTGCTACGGGCGCTTCCGCAGCAGCAGCACCAGCAACAGGAGCAGCAGCAGCAGCAGCAGTAGCAGCAGCATCAACAGCAGTAACCCAGAGAGCCACGCAGCTTATATCATCTCGCTTTCCTCCTCTGCATCCTTCTGCTGCTGCTGCTGCAGGCAGAGACGGCGACTTCGTCCCATCAGCAGCAGCAACAAACGGGCGTTCAAACAACTGAAAAGAAACAAACACACAACCACCTGTTGTTGTTGCTGCTGCTGCTGCTGTGCTGTTTATTCATTTATTCTTTCTCGTTTGTTTATTTATGTGTTCTTAGACATTTCTGTCTGTTTTTATGCATGTTCCCAGATATATATATATGCATGCATATATATATATATATATTTGTTTGTTTGTTTATTTATTTGTGTTTGTTTGTTTGTTTATATTTAGCACAAAGTGCATTCTAATTATTTGTTTATTATAAATTTCTGTATATTTATTTATATATATTTTTGTTGATTTACATTTATTAGTATTTGTTTATACTTACTCATTTACACCTACTGATATATTCATTTGTATTTATTTATTTATTTATTTATTTATATTTATTTATATTATTTATTGCTTACTCCGTCTTGAGATCTCTTCTTAGCGATCTTTACTATTAACTCTGCGATGTCCTGCGCAGGTGTAAACCGAATAGGCTGCTGCTGCTGCTGCTGCTGCTGTTGCTGTTGCTGTTGCTGCTGTTGCTGTTGCAACTCTTGCTGCTGCTGCTGCATGTCCTGTTTCTGTTGCAGATCGTGTTGCTGCTTGCCTTGCTGCTGCTGTTTCTGCTGCTGCTGCTGCTGCTGTTGCTGCTGCTGCTGCTGCTGCTGCAGCAAGTAGGCCTCATCAGGAGACAGAGCTAGGGAGCAGAACATCTCTATTTCTCTATCGAACAGATTATCACTGACTCCATCACTAAAGACAAGAATAAGGTCTCCTGGCTGCAGCAGCAACGGCTGAGGAGGTGCATAACCCATATCTGCTGT